AATTTTAATAAAGAAAAATTAGTCATGAAATTTGAAAATAAAACGGAAGATATATCTGTTTAACGTCTGTTTCAGTGAAAAGGAAAAAATTGTCAATATCAAATCTGTTCATTTGTACCCACTTCTTAAAATAACGACCAGCATTCATATTTGTGCTTGCTATTGTAATATTTTATTAAAGTTGTTAAGCTCACATATTTATAGGACAATTTCTGCAAATATTTTATTGTCGTAGAACTCGCCACGAGCTTATTCAATCATTAACTGAAGAATTATGATGCATCAGAATATTAAAATAGGTAAACCGTTAAATTTTTTTTTTTTTTAATAATTTCGTGGGAAAGTGCGATATAAATTAATAACGTAATAAAAAACATCTCTTTGTATAATTTGACGAGTGATTTTATTAAATCGTCGTTAATCATTAAACTTGTTTTCTATGAAGGTATTTCATTTTCGCACTCTCTCTCTCTCTCTCTCTCTCTCTCTCTCTCTCTTTATCGATTGTATTACGAGCCCTGTTCGAATTCCAGTTGGGTTCGTTACATTCACTTACACGCAAATACCCTTAGGAAAAGTATAAATCCATCTCCATGGGTTAAATAGAAGGACATTAGTCTTGTTCTATAGCCTTAGTTGACAACCTGTCTACCGCAGAAAGAAATGGCAATCTACCGCGGTAAAATCTTCTGCCTAGGCCAATGTTTCTCAATCATCGCGAATAGAATCGATTTTTTCCCTCAAAACTTAATGAAAGCAACGATCGTTTAAAACCTCGTATTCTTGAATGCATATAAAAATATACGACATCTCTGCCGGTGATAACTGTTTACTCCTGTGTCAATAATAAGTCAAATCGGTTCGATCAAGTCAAATTGGCAGCCGATTTAAAAAAAGAAAAAAAAATGACCTGCAATCTATTATTAAATGGGAGTAAGGGATGGCTTGTTCATTTTAACGCCTCAAAAACGAAACTACTCTCTTTTAATCATTTGAGAGAACCCTTTTTACCATCCATCAGCTTGGCTGATGCTAATTACCAGAAAAGTGATTCATTGCACCTTCTCGGACTAATATTTTCAGCTGATATGAAGCGGACAATAGTATATTGAATCAATTGCTAGGATTGCAGCTAAGAGAATTAGTTCATTATGTCATGCTAAACTTTTTTTCTCTCTCCTGAATCTTGTATCTACCATTCGTCAATGCTTTGGATATTGCCGCCACATCTGGTTATATAGTTAGAGATCCTTGATAAAATCCAAAGAAGAATTTGTAATGTTATTACTCCTGACCTGGAATCTTGGCTACAATCACTTTCCAGTTGCCGGAACGTAGCTTCCCTGTGACATTTCTATAAATATTTTCTTGGTAATTGTTCGGAGGAATTCTTTGCTACCTAGATGAATTATGAATTTAAGTGCAATACTAGATTAGCGGCTATGCCTCATCATTTTATAGTTGATATGGCTAGATGTAACCGTAAGTTCTATGCTAACAGTTTCATCTCTCGCACTTCTCGCTCGTGGAATTCGCTTCCGACTTCTTAGCCCCCAGTCAAATTTGATCTCCTAAAATTAAATGCAATGTCAACTGTTATCTTCGGTCTTCTTAATTGTTATCCTTTTATTGTCCTCTCTTTTTAATAGTAATTTTCTCATATTCTCTAACTCTCAGAAACCTCTTGTGTCCGAGCGGCTTTATTGCCTTGCTTGGGGTGAAATGATTAAAAAAAAGACATTAGATTTTGCCAGTACATCTTTGCCGTTACAATTTTTGCAGTCTATTAATGTTATAGAAAATATAATGACACTTTTGAAACACTGCTTAAAATATATCTCGTGTTTTTTCTTTCTCTTTACTTTCTCACACTCCTGACGATGACTCATATGAGTCGAAAGTTTGGAAAATTGGGAGTTTGGAGAAATTTCGATTATTTTTTCTTTACTTTGCGAAATATTATTCGCGTTTTAGAAAAACAATCAATAAATTTAACAGACAAAATATCTATTCTTTTTAACGAGACTTTTTAAAAGAAAAATTGCTAGTAAAAATATACTGAATTTATTTTTATTTAACTCCGCGTTAGTCACCTCAGATTTCCGAAAATGGATATTTACCTGGCGTCTGCCTCCCACGACAACTGTGCCACACGGCGTGCTACACGCCCTCACTGAGTCAGGAGGTTAGTGGGAGGGAGCAAAAGAAACATGTTGTCAATTAGGAATTACGAGCACTTTAAAAATTTGAGGGCACCACAACACCCCATGTGACTAACGTGGGGTTAAGGATTGTTGCTTAAGTCGAATAGGGAATCTGGAGGGTTTGATTTGTGAAGGATTATAACATTATTAAAGAAGAGCTGTTTAATATAATTCTTGTCGTGCTTATTAATGTTAAATATATTGTTGTAGCATTTAACATATAAAGGAAGACAATAAATGTTCCTACAAAGCAAATTATCACTTCAAATCAGCGTATTGATCAGTTATAACAAATTTAGCAGACGAGATAAGGAAACTGAATATAGAATAGGCTGCGCTAGGGGTAGTTTCACTCCACCGACACAAACACCTAGAAAATAAAGTATTAACCAAAAATCTTGAGTCATATTCTAAAATAGCCTCATCAGATCAAGACTTTCATATGGACGTCATGCATGGCGTCAAACTCGTTCAGAAATGTCTAAACTGTCAGCTTTCTCGTATCGATCCAGCGAATGAAGCATGTAAGTCTCAGCGAGGGGTGTTCATCTTCGAGGTTCGTGTACTGGCGCTACAGAATCACAAACGAATATGGTTTTTGCTATTTGGTGAACTGTAACAATTAGCAGAAACCATGAGTGCCAACAGCAAACAACTAAAATGGATAGCACGTGTAACACGTAAAGAAAATAATGTCATCATTAAAATGCTGATTTTCAACTCTACTTCAAATAATAGGTACGGAAGACACACCCACCCAAATCAATACTGGAAAGAGCCATAACAGCTACTGGACTTGAGAAACCTATTTCTCTGGAAAAAAAATTAAAAAAAACATTTTACAACATTTAACCGAAAGTAGCAATAGCTGCTCGGAGAATGAATGCCGAATGTTTCCTTATAGGGAAACGGCTGACATTAACATTATCATGATTCAGTAAACCGTGGAGCTGCCATAAAGGTCTTCTTCTGCAAATAGGGGATTATTTAGCGAGACCAGTAATAATGAGTTACATAGTAAATGTGTCACTGACAAAGTGTAACCAATAAGAGAAGGTGTCATTAGCGTAACGAAAAGTGTTAGCGTAAAGTGGACTAGGCGAGCCGAATTCAAATTCCGGGTTGGTCGATTGCTTTCACTTTCGAACGAGTACCTTTTGAAAAGGCATGAATCCATCTGTTCTTCCTCCAGCTAAAGGTTATATATCAGGATAAACTAGACTTGTTCGCCTAGTTTGATACCAATCTAAAAGAAGGAGAACTCGTCGCAATCCCAGGTTTTAAGGCAACGATTAACAATTCCAGTAGCTTTCCCAAGAATGCATGATAATTCACAGTTTACAAAGAAAAGGAAATATGGAGAGCCATGATTGCCTATATCCTGAAGAACAGTATCACTGAAAAACTTGCTAGTTACAAATTGGAGATACCGAAATCAAATAGGTGCAACAATTTCAATATGCAGAAAGTGTTTTAACAAAAGAAGGAAGGTGTGACACTGAAATCCGAAGGCACGTTGGGATAGCGAAAGATGCCTTCAAAAAGCTAAGTAAAGTATTAACAAACGGGAAAATTTCTTTTGTCAGGAATCGTAAAGAATTTCACAGCTTCGCTTTAACCATTCCATCGACTTATTTCCAAATCTGCCGGGTTTGTTTGGGTAATTACTACCTCTCTGTTAACACACTGCCTGGCTCCTTAATGAGAAATTGTGACATTTCTTTATTAAATCTTTACGAAAATCGATGTCGAGAGAACTTTTAAACCATTTGAGAAAGTTCTTTTTTTTTTTTTTTTGGCTGACCGGAATCGGTAATCAGAAAGATTATTTGAGATAAGTTTATTTTTTTCACCTTAATTGTCATTATTCTGTTGATCCAGCTGGAAAATAAGTGTTTACCTATCTTTGCCCTTGCAAAAAAAAAAAAAAAAAAAACAGGAAAAAAATCAGTTTGTTTGAATGTGATACAAATTTTCTCTATAAAAATTTATTTGCCTCAGTTGACAAGAACTTCATTGGGAATTTCTTTCTGAATTTGTCGTTTTGCTTAATTCTGAGGCAAACATTTTGTTGGAAGTGAAAATTACAATAAAGATTATTTTCTATTATTTACTTATAGTCGATGATGGGTGTTTTGATCGAGAATCAAAAATTTCATTAATTCTGGAAAAAATACCTAAGCAGGAATATAAACAACCCCCTCCGCCCAACGTCCGCCGTCTTTTTAAACTGCGTCCTTATTTTTTCTGGTAATTTGTTTACATTTTTGATGTCCAGAAAACCTTTACATTTTCTATCATATTTCAGTAAAATTTTAACTTTCCAAAATTATGGTTTATAATCATAACTTAGATATATTTGGAAAAAAAAAGTCTATTTAAAATGACGCCAAGTGATTGAGAGTTTAAAACTGACGCTGATAATTCATATTTTTTTTATATCTACCGAAACTTTGCATTTTCTAGATTACATCTGAAAACTTCGAATTTTTCTAGCATTCTTCAAGTGAAATTTTCACGTTCCAAAATAACAGCCTATATTTAGAATGATTCATTTTCTACGGATTTTACTAAATAACCCTTTGCCTTTGCCAGAAAAAGATTTTTAGATGGTATTGTTTTGGGGTGGATAATAATGGTTTAGTGATACAAGTCTTACTAATTAATCCATAGTTGGAGGAGAATAGGTAGATTGATGCCTTTCCCAAAGGTGTTTGGCCGTAAGGGGATATAATAAGCGCAACGGGAATTGGGACTCAATGATCCGCTTAAAACTTCACCACCCGCACATCCGAGCTTCCAACACCTGGTATACACAAGCAGTCACCCATCTAGGTACTAACCAGGCTCGACGTTGCTTAACTTCGGTGATGGTACGGGAATCTGTGTTTAAACGTGGTTGTGTTTCGTAAGCCCTCAATACTTATAGTGCCGATATAGAGAAAAATGGTGGGTTCAGTTTAAACTTACTTCCAATTGGAGGAAATGTTTTTTTTTTTTTAGAATCATCTGTTTTTGTTGGACTACCAGCGAAATACGAGTGACTTACTTATGGGCGGAACACATTCTTCCTACATACAGTTTCTTCTTTTTAGCATTGTAATTAGAAATTCTTCTGCATTTGTATTGCTCTTTCTGATAACATTCTGAGCATAAATATCGCGTTTCTTATTTCAGTGTCTATGAGAAACCCTCACTATTCCCATTTCCGTTTCCGGTTTGATTCAGCTGCGCACTCTAGTCATCAGAATTCGGATGCAGATAAAACATCGTTGATAGCAGACACAGAAAGAAAACTACAAAAAAAAAAACTCCTACAGAAAGCAATGAAGGAAAGCGGGAAGAAAGGATTAAATATTAACTGCAAGAAGATAAAATGCATGGTTTTTAGCAAAAGGATGTACCCAAAATGCGAATTGCAAATTGGAGATACCAAAATCAAACAAGTGCGGAAATTTAAATATCTGGGAAATGTTTTAAGAGAGGACGGAATGTGCGACATTGAAATCCCAAGGCTTATTGGGATAGCCAAAGATGCCTTCCAAAAGCTAAACAGAGTATTAAAAATAGAAAACAAGGAAAACCATACGAAACTGCTGTGATACTTGTCCTCCTATATGGCAGTGAATGCTGGACAATCACCTCAAAGATGAAGAAGAGACTTGAAGGAACAGAAATATGGTTCTACAGAAGGATTCTGGGGATACAACTGACCGAAGTTTTAGAGAAAATGTAAACAAAAAGAACACTTATACCATCAGAAAGAGACAGTCGAAATTCCTAGGGTACAAAATGAAGAAAGAGGTCTTGGAAAATTTGATACTCACAGGACAGGCAAGAGGGAGAGAGGAAAACAACACATAACCTACCTACTGAGCTTGTATAAATGGATGGAGGAACAAAGTTTAAGAGAGATAAGAAAAACACAAAATTTGTTAAAAGCTACAAAAAACAGGAAATTATGGCGAGCCATGAACGCCAACGAAACGACACGGCACGTAGAATAGTAATGGCACTTATTTCAGCCTCGAAGCTAGCTACAAATTTTGGGACTAATATCGAAATTAGAGACTTTTTTTTTATTTCTTTATGCATGAGTTACACTTTCTTAGTCAATTATATATATTAGCGAACATAACGGATTTGGACTGGGCATTCCTTCTGAGGCAAATTACCGAAATTATGGAAGGTGTTGCGTATAAATTTGAAATAATTGATAAACTAATTAGAGAAAGCATTTAGTAGTCTGCCTCGTAGTTGAGACTGTAGCGTCTCTCTTGCTAGTGTCAGAAGCTGGTTTCTGAACTCAGGTAAGTCTGAATTCGGCATGTTAATTTTCAAGTAATTTAGTCATCGCCATTTTGGAAGATTGGTTCAATCCTCTCTACGCATCTCTTTTTGTGTTGTATAAAGCTGAGAACGTCGAAATATTTAATTTTTTTCCTCTTGATTCATTATTCATGATTTTGAAATGCACTAACTAAACCAGTGGTCGGCAAACGTTTGTTTGCATCATGATATCAGCCCTGTGTAAAGTGGACTACATCACAATATTAACACGAGTTTCACAACAACAGTATACATAACAATCATACATGCGTATGTTATTTGTAGATTTATTTGCTTATTAAACACATTTTACGAACAATCTGCACAAAGGTATAAGACATTAGGTTCATATTTAATACATTTAACATTATTAATGAGATGTGTGCAACTGAGAAACGGTTTTTTTACAAGTTTTACATCAGGATTCAGTTTACTTTACAAGACAAATTGCAGATTAAATTTCTCTTAGCTGAAACCTATTTTTTTATTTGTTAATGTTCATACATAAAAATGTCTTCCGTTTTTCCTAATTAGTTCACTCTCAGAAAAGGCGATAATGGCACTAAGATTTAACGGTCTACTGGGAGTGAAAGAGAATGAAAAAAGACTTTAGAAGGAACCGGAAACATAACCCTAAACAAGAATCAAGGGAAAAAACTTTACTCCTGTTTGTAAGACCGGAGAGGAGTGTGAACCGGGCGACAAAATTCGTAAAATTGTAAGTAAGTTTAAACTGAACCCACCATTTTTCTCCGGATATATATATATCTTAAAAAAGTAAAGTTTAGTTTGAATACATATTTTTAAATAATAACATTATAATTATATGATGCAAAAGTCGTGCACCATAGGGATAATCTATTAAAAGTAGATTTACACTTGATAATTTTATTTACTAGTTATTTAATGGTTATATGTGCTGATCAAAATGTCTTCCTTGTTTTTCAGAAGACATTTCAATTCTGTGCCTGCATAATTCATTAACTATTATACTAGAACATTACCTATTCTATTGTAATAGACTCTCCCACACATAATAAGTAGTAGTAGTAGTAGCGGTCGCCAGTGGGGCTCAGTGGAGTTGAGTGAGTCAGTCGATGTCGGACATTGAAGTATCAACCATCACAACTAGATTGCTGCGTCATTAACTATTATTGCAAGTTCCTAACGTTTTGTACGTCGAACCTAATTTAGGACCGACTTATTGAAATACAAGCCTCCACTGGGAAAACTACTTTACACATTAACACGTCGGCGAGTTTCCTCTGTCATTTCATTACATTCATATTTAATTCTTTCTTTCTTTAAGTTCCTTAATATTACTTGGGCGCCTCTGATAAACAAATGATTTCAAATTACTCCACAGAAAAAAAAAAACATTATTGAGGAATTAACTCATTTGATGAGCAGCTTTTTCCTTACTCTGTATATCGCTTTCTCAAACTTTATTATTCCAGAACAAACAGTATGATTTGAGACATGTCACAACTTTCAGCTTCTCTATATACGGTGGGAAAAGTTTTAGAGTTATTAGATGTTATTCTTCTATGTGCCGTGTCCTTTCAGGACTTTGGCGATCATGGCTCTCCACAACTTCCTGTCCTTTGTAGCTCTTAATACACTTTGTCTTTTCGTTATCTCTCCTATATCTTGTTCCGCCATGCATTTACTCAAGCTGCCGAGGTAGGTTATGCGTTGTATTCCTTCATCCCTCTTGCCTTCAGTCTTCCATGTGAGTATTAAAATTTCAAAGCTCTCTTTCCTCATTACGTACCCTAGAAATTTCAACTGTTTCATCCTGGTGTTAAGTATAAATGTCCTTTTCGTTTCCACTTTTTCTAAAATTTCGTCATTGCTTACATGTTCGGTCCATGGTATTCTCAGCATCTTTCTGTAGAACTACATTTCTGCTGCTTCAAGCCTGTTCTTCATCTGTAATGAGATTGTCTAGCATTCACTGCCATATAGGAGGACTGGTATTACGTACTCAATATTACGTATTCGGTACACTTTTCTTTGTTTCTAATGATATTTTTCTGTTACTTAATACTTTGCTTAGTTTTTGGAAGGCATCTTTCGCTATCCCAATGCGCCTTCCGATTTCAGTGTTGCACTTTCCATCCTCGTTAAAACCCTTCCGAGATATTTAAATTGTTGTACTTGTTTGATTTTGGAAATCCCCAATTTGTAATTCGCATCTTAGGCTGTCCCCTTTTTCTAACAACTATGCAATTTCTTGGAATTGATGTTTAGTCCTTTCTTTTCGCTTTTCTTTACTACCTTCTGATGGAGTTCTTGTACTTTCCTTTCTGCTACTTCAAATAATATATTAATAATAAGATAAGATGATCCAGCATTCACTGCCATATAAGAGAAGTGATATTGCATAATAGTTCAATAGTCTTTTCTTTGTCGCACTTTCCGTCCTCTTAAAACAGTTCCCAGAAATTTAAATTGTTTTACTTGTTTGATATTGGCATCTCCAATTTGTAATTTTGTATGTTGGACTGTTCATTTTGCTAGCAACCATGAATTCAGTCTTCTTGCAATAAATATTTAGTTTTTTCTTCTCTCTTTCTTTCACTACCTTCTACAGAATGTTAGTGACAGTAAATTAGAAAAACTGCAAGGTTCGGATGCTGAATTTCATTTCTGTACATCTGAACTAAGATTATACATCAAATCAATACACATTTTTGTTAAATTTCTTAGCATACCAGGAACAGAAGTATAAGCTTTATTTTGAACAGCAGTAATAAGACGAAACAAAAATAAACAAAAAAGTGATAATAATCGCGCTTCATTTAAGAAATTAGCACAGAATGTTAGAAACTATACGAAAAGCTAAGTTGTCCATGTTGCCAAGTACGTTAACAAACACAAGTAATAATAAACAAGAAGAAATGGCTGATGCTAACCTCCATGAGAATGACTGATTCTCGTACTAATGACAAACACAAGTAATAATAAACAAGAAGAAATGGCTGATGCTAACCTCCATGAGAATGACTGAATTCCTAAACAAGAAGAAATCTGCAGCTAAGAAAGTTAGTTCACAATGTCATACTAGACCATCTCTCCCGCTACAATCTATCTTATATATTTATAAGTCTACCATTCGTCCTTGATTTTAATATCACTGCCACGTCTGGTCTGGTCTGGTGCTCCTGCTATATATTTAGAGACTCTTGATAAAATTCAAAGAATCTACAATGTTATTGGTCCTGACCTGGCATCTCGGCTTCAGTCCCTTTCCCACTGCCGTAACAGAAAAGAGTTTCCCAAGCGAGAAACTGTCAGCATAGAACTAACGGTTACATCTAGCCATTTCAACTGTAAAATGATGAGACCTTACCGCCAATCCAGTACTACGCTTAAATTCATAAAATCTTGGTACCATAGCGGGAAGTTCATCAGAACAATTATTTATATTAAAGGCACAGGGAAGCTATGTTACGGCGGTGGGAAAGGGGCTGTGATATATATATATATATATATATATATATATATATATATATATATATTTCGATTACAAGTGCAGTTCAATTTATAATTATATGAATCATT